TGCTAATGTCAACGTTTCGGAGTATCCGGAGATTTTTTCGAATGAAGACCAGCCAAGGACTGAGGAGACTCCTGACGGCGTCTTTTGTGTCCAGAACATGGAGCCTCTTAAATATGTGTTCGCCATGAGCCATGGCGGCTTGCTTATGGACACCACCTTCAAGTGTCGCATTTCGAATGTCTTCGTGATGTTGCTGCTGGCCTCAATGCCTACCTTGACCAAGGGTCAACAGTGTGTGGCTGAAGCAGAGGAGAAAGGAAGTGAAGAAGGGCAGCTATGGCTGTGGTTGGCCATCCTGGCCATGTTGCACGTCCTTGCGATGGCTACCGTCTTCATGATCGGCCGTTGGACTGCACCACGCCTGGTTCAGGAGAAGGAGAATGTGGTTGACACCAAGGAGGTTGAGACTCAAAAAGATGAACCCATCGTGCATTCACGACTTCGAGAACTACTCCAACTGGAGCAGCAGCGCAGTACTGAAGCTGCGCGATCAGCCAAAGAGTCCAGAACCGCACTGGACCTCCTGGTCGATGAAGTGGAGACCCTCCGAACCCTGGTTGGCACTGGACACCAGCTCATCAAGCGGCTGATGTTTGAGATGGAATGGCACAATTCCATGTGCCCTTTCTCGAGGAACATCGTGACCTCGCGAACCTCCGTGTGCTGGCACCATGAGACCTGCCACATTGTAGAGCAGATGAACGGCCCGCTGTATGTTCGTAGAGCATGTGCATACTGTGCAATGCACAGACCACCACCTGATAGGACGAACGAGCATGCACAGACCATCCGACCAGAGCTCAACGCTTTTCTGGACGCAGCATCTCCATGGGCAGGTGAGTGAACATCTCCCCCCGTGTTGAGACGCACGCTGTGCGCCATGTTTGACATGTCATGTCATGAGTTTCTTTTTCAAACCAACCATATCCCACCGTAGAGGGTGGGCTCGAGAAGCTTGGAAAAGCTGCGTGTGGCGTTAAGTCGCCTTTTGCCCTTAGCTTCGACCTCGTCGTTGCTTCGTATCCGTGTGCCGTGGACTTCGTGCGCTACGGCTACTTCTCTACACAAAGACTTTTCCATCAAAAGCAACACGGAAGAAACGACAAGAGGTGACAAGGAGGAGAATGGGAGAATCCCTACAAAAGAGAAACAGTGAGCCCTTGAAACACTGTTTAGAGCTTGCCCTGACATGCGCTGCCAAAGCCTCATTGGAGATGCGGTTACAGAGAAGATCCAATGCTATTGGCCATGCACCATGAGCATTTTTCCGGGAGCAACTCGACACAGCCTGAGATTGCATTTAACTCACTCTGGTTCCGCAGTTAGGTCCAATTTGTCAGGACCTATACAAATATATATATATATGTACAGTATATATATATATATATATCAGCGTTCTCGGCGTTCTATTCTTCTTCCTCTGAGAAATCTTTCTGTTTGTTTCCCTCTTGCTCACATTCTGTAGTCTTCCGGTCTTGCTGAGGAACAGAGCTCAAAATGAACTCATTGGGCGAAAGGTCGAGTATCTGTCCATGCCGAAGCATCGCTAAAGACTGCCTGACCGGACTTCGGCTTGAACGAGAGGTGATGTGGGTGAATAAATTTGAGGGTTGGCTTGACAAGGGTGTGCTCGAGAATCGAGAACCGAGAATCGAGAGTCACGAATTGAGAATCGAGAGTCGAGAATCGAGGGGCATGTGTCAATCGAGAGTCGAGAATCGAGAAGCAAGGACCGTGAACCGTGAATCGAGAATCGAGGATATTCGAATACAGTACGTATCCAGAATCGAGGATCGAGAATAATCGAGAGTCGAGAATCGAGCTTGTCAAGCCGGGTCTGATAAGGTTCTGCAAGTCCTAGATCCGAACTCATATTAAAAAGAAAACTGGCCATGTTTGATTGCTTCCCACGCCTCCAGTGGTTCTCAAAGACCCTGCTCGCAGCACCCCAGTGTACCACATCAATCTCCACACCTCTAAAAAAGTCGTCTGCTTAGACAGCCGCGAGACGGGAATGCTAAGGAAAAATCGTCCAAGGTCTGAGCTTCAAAGATATCCCTACAAGGAGGGTGATGCTGAGACACTGCAATGTGCAAGCTGCTTCAGCAAGGCAATCACCTCTTGAGACTTCCCCTGCTTCGAAAGGGAACTGAGAATAGCAGTGGCAAGACCTCGAGGGACACCGCTGTTGGAGACTGCAGAAGTGCATGTTATCCAAGAAGAATCAAGAAGATGTAGGGTATTGTAGGTCAGGAGGGTTAGGTCTTAACCGTTAGGTGCAGAAATGGCACGTGGGTCACTCGTCCAAGCTCCTCGAGGCAGTTTTCCCACGAAATTATCTTCCATATTGTAGGGAATAAGAGGACCACCACCATTGCTCACGCACTTCTCCGCATCGCATTTGCGGGCTACAGAGATCAGACAGCCCCAGCAGAAACATGCCAATTCAGCTTCACCCCAGCTTTAGATCTCGTCCATCTGCCCGGGCTAGACAAATCCGGAAATTGAAAAATGTTGGAAGAACAGGAGTGCTCAGCTCGACACAGGTTGAACTGGCTTCCAGAGGAAACCGCCAAATCTTTTGACTTGTGCTGGTGGGCGTTCAGGGGAACCTGCACATCAAGCAGCTTGACACCGCCAATGGGACATGAAGAAAGGAACTTCTGGGAGAATGAAAATAAAAACCTGCAATAAAGTTGCGTACACGTCCAACTGTTCAAACCATCTTATTGGGGTAATGGGAGACAAGCTCTTGCTGTAGACAGAGCAGCCGCGGATTGCTGTCGCCACAGAATGGCAGCTGGAGTCTCAAACCATCTGAAAAGGGAAAGGAAATCCACGCCTGTGCCTGCTACTTCGGTATCTATTTGCAAATGAATGATTGGAACTGAAACCAGTTCAATATCCAATGCAACTTGAGGGCATGAGCACACATAGAAAGTGCATGAAACTGCAAAGGACCAGCAGGGAACAGTACTGGAGTCCAAAATCCCGGCTTGGAGCTCAGGATATCAAGATGGGAATTCGTGTAGCAAGGGGGCTGCTATCCCACCCTGCCTGACTTGGTTTCACCAACAATTCTTTGGCGGAGCACTGCATAAGTGGAAATGAACTCTTCATTGGTTGATCTTGGGTGGTAGGCAACATGCAAACACACCCTGAATGATTAACAAAGCTGGTACTGTATGTCATGCAAACAATGAAGTGGCGAGTGGTGGCCCTCTTTACATAGAAGGTCAATTTTCCTTTTAAAAAGGTCCACTACCGATCACAACGTGCTCACCTCCTCAACCCCTATGCATAGTTAAGAGGCGTCCTTGGCAGCTGCTCTGGAACAAAAAGTGCTTGTACTAGTGTAGAGGGGTGTGGGTTGCGTCACAAAACTGTTGGCGTTTGCATCTGTCTCTAGCATGGAAAGTCCAGCCTCTCACTTGCTAGATGTCTTTCAGATCACAATATGAATCATATGGCAGGTCTATTGCCACCTGGTTGCCGGTTTAGAGCAACACTGCCACTGTGATTGTTTAGACCAATAGCTCAGCGGTCTTCAACAACGCAGCTCAGCCATGTTCGCAGCTCAGCATCTGTCTCTGGCCCTATGGGCTCGGAGTCTCTCCCGCCTGTCGGTGTCGATTCGAGGTCCGCCGGTCCCTCAGCGAAGCTTCACTGCAGTGGTCCTGCGGAACCCGTTTGAACGGCCAGCGATTTGCCGGGGTTCTTCGGTGCAATGGAACGAAGCGAGCGAACGAGCAGTTTGGGTCTGTGGAGATGGGAGGCTGCAGCAAACATGGGACACAATGTGTACACCGGTCACACAAAAAATAAACATGTCACTTCCAAGTGATGCACTTTTTGCAGCTGCTCTTCTGCAACTTCTAGGAACACCAGTGAAAGACCGGTGTGGATCTCAGATTCTGCCCAGCAGCTTGGGTCCGCCGCCTCCACAAGGCAAAGCCATCAAATGGTCTTGACCACATAATTAGCATGAACAATTTCATTCGCAAAAGCCTACATTCAATTAAATTCAAGTACCACATGTACTTGTGAAGGCCTTGCAACCAAGCGAGGCCATAAGGTCCAGCTGCACGAAGTCCATGCCTTGCACTATCAACGTTCCTAATTGCTGGCAAAATAGAGCTTCACAAAGAATCGAAAAACCAGCTTTTGCCTGCAGATATATATAGAGCGCCCGCTCTTTGCTGAAAGCACATTTCATACACAGTCCTCTCATGACCACCTTGGGCCATTGAGTGTAAGCGGCTCTGTGGCCTTCATGCTTAGTGGCCCCCTGCGTTCAGGCCGCTGCACTGCTTCATGCTGGGGCGGCAGCCTTTCCTAACGCAGCCAGTGCAAGCTGCACTCTTGTCGTTGCTGATGCACTGATTCATACACTTGTCACGAGAGCATTCCACCAAGTGAGCCATGCAGGCTGCGCAACCTGTCGAGTACCCCTTCTGTTGCATGCAGCCCTGGGTACAAGGGAAACCTGCAGCACAAGAGCGGCCGCACTGGTTCAATGCACCATCAAAGCTTGCCCTTCCTCCTCCTTTCCAAATTCCCAGGTCCTTTTGGTTGGTGCACGCTCCGCCCTCCTCAACTGTCACTTCCTCATCCTCATCCGCATCCGCCAAAGCATCATGGTAGTTCACCTTCATTCCACGGAGCTGGCTCAATTCCAGGCTGCAATCGCCGTCGGCTGCGCATGCATCATCTACCTCCAAAGCCTCCAAAGAAGGCTCTGCAGCTGCCAGTGCGACAATGAGAAAGGATGCGAGAAGCTTCACAGCCATTCTTGATGCACACCTGCAAACAAAATCGCTCTTGGTTTTCCACAGCAGGGGCACCCCAGTTCGCTCGAGAGTACACGCCAGCGGCATCTAG